CCAAATGGAAGGTGGGCGACAGCATCAGACTGAATGCGAACGTATTCCGTAATTATATATATATATATATATACATATATATTGATATTAAACTTATATATTTATAAACTTAGATGATTATATATAATTATATATTTATAAACTTAAACTTATACACTTAAATTTATGCAATAAAATAATAAATTTTTTCATAAATGGGAAGAAGCATACAGCCATATATACAAAAAGTTTTTTGCCAAACTCGTATATTTTCAATTAAAAATGTAAATGTTTCGGCCAAGTCTTGGCCATCATCAGTACAATAAATGAATGCGAGATGTTAAATAATAGAACACTAATTAAGATGTCGAAGTATATATGAACTTTAGGAATATTTTTATATTTGAAAATTATTCTGATTCCTCGATCTTTTTGACATATGAAATTAAATCTTATTTCTTGATCACCGTATGTTAACCACGGGATTGCCAAATTCTGATAAACAAATTTATATAAGTTATTATATCTGTATGCTCCTTCCCATTTATGTTTTATGTTATTGAGCTACCTCTAATAACTATTGTTAAATAAATTTTTTACACATACAAATCTCCTTATCCATATTTTTTTATGTTAGTTTTAAAAATAGTTTTTTTTTATATATTGATATGTTTTTATTATATATATATATATGTTAAAAATCATATTTATTTAATTTCTTTAATTTCCATTCTGTTAATTGTAACAAATTAAAATTATACATTTTCTTAGATATATTTTATTTATACATTTTTTCACAGGGCATTAGTGGAAGAAATTAATGATATATCATCTTTGCAAATTAATCAAGATGCAAATCAAATAAAAAAGACAATCTCAAATGTTGATAAACAAATTAAATCTGGTGATGTGAAATTACGACGGCCTAATACGTTTAGTGTGATGCAAATTGAAAATTCGAATAATACGAGTGAAAATATTAATGAGCATGAAAATAATATAGAAGCTACTTATAAGTCTATCAACAATATTAAGGATAAACACATATCTGCATCTCAACGTGTTAGTAATATTAATGAATTTCAAACTAAAATGGCGGATCAACCTGTAGTAAATGCCACAAACACTAAAGAATTTTCTCAACAGCATCGATTACGCGGACATAATAATACTAACGAAAGTATTGATCAATCAAAAAAAAAAAATGGATGCTCCCCAACATCATTTAGCCGAAATCAATATAGCCGTAATTATCAAAACGATTCAAAAAAGACTAATCTTAAAGAAAGACATGATAATAATAGCAATATAAGAGATAAAACTTACAATAATGATAGAAATGATTCTCAAAGGAATAGCTTCCAAAGTGACAAAGACTCCGATTATAATGGCAGAGAAAATACTAATAGAAATGGAAGTATTTCCAGTAATAGTTCGGTGAACAACGATTTAGCTTTTTACAAAGATACACAGTTGTCAAAAACAAAATTCATAACTGTGGAAGTTATAATACCAGTAGATAATAATGAGTATTGGATATATAAATTAGAGGATACAGATGCACGTATGAACTTAATGACGAAATTACAAGATATCGCAAGAAAATCACGTAATATGCAGCCGGTCATTGGTGAGATTTATGGCGTTTTACATGAAACTGTTTGGCAAAGAGCTATGGTAACATCTCTGAATCCTACTAAGGTCCATTTTATTGACTTTGGTAATTATGAGATACTAGAAAAAAGTAGTGAGATCAAAGATATTGGTGATCTGATCAAATTTCCTAAGTTTGCTAGAAAAATTCGCTTGACGCAAGGCACAAGGGATAAATATAAAGATCTACAGCAAGGCGAGAAAATTTCTGTTAGAATGTTGACTTTAAATTCTGAGAAAACAATAATAGTAGAAGTAGAAGAAGAGCAATCTACTGCAAAAAATTTATCTTCATCTACAGAAAGTGTTTCAAACGGTACAAAGAAAAAATTATTACCGCAAAAGAAGGTACCACCAAATAAAAGTACTAATCCTTCCACGATTCAAATATCTAGCATCTTAGATGCTTTGGCTGATTTGACACAAAATAGTTCAGAGTTGCAAATTGACGGTTTTATACAATTTTTTGAATCCACGCAAAAGAATGTTTATAGCGTAACTTTGCTGCCACAAGTTTTCAGTACTGAAGTAACAATGATCTTCGAAGATATACAAGAGGAATGTTCAAAAATACAAATACCTGCAGATTACAAGTATGTATATGCATAAAATTTATAAGTATAAATTTTTTAACATTTGCTGAATATCATTAAGCGTAGATTGGAATAAATAGGGTATTTTATTTGTCTTTATTATTTATTATGATCTTACAACATTTTGTTTATTTCATGTATCTTTAACAAATGTTATACTATTATAATATTTTCTTATATATATTTGTTATTGCGACAAAATATCATCACAGCCTTACTGGTCAAATTGGTTAAGACATCTGTCATGGGGAGATCCATGTTGGTATTTTGGTTGAGATGATATTTTTCATAATAAATTCACAGCTTTTTAAGATTTTAATTATCAGATTATTTACAGCTTTTCTATGCTTGTTATTATCAGTCTTATCAAATTACTTTGAATTTAATTTGATATTACTGCTTCAATTTGATTTAAGATTGCGTTTAAAGATTGTTAATGAGATTTCAGTGCATAGTTGTAGAAATATATAAATTCACACTGAAATATTTCAGCATTAAGGGGCCGGCATTCATTCATAGTCCATTATTTCAAGATCGTCTTAACTAATATTTTATGATGTTAATAAGAATCTCTGATTGGCTTATGACATCTTAGGATTGTACTTAAGACAATCTGAAATATATACTCAACTATGAATACCGGCTTAAGATCCAATTTAAACTGATAATGCTTTTTCGTTACTTGAAGTATTTTATTTTTTAGACCAAAAGCAGAAGAATTAGTTTGCGGTTTATATTTCGACGTATCCCGATTCCATTTTTGCAATAGACGAGGCAAGAATTCTTCAAGTAAATGAAATTGTACCATGTCCCAAAAAATATTTGAATATTTGTGCCTTTGGAGTAATGTGCGAAATAAATCATTCTACTGTCAAATTGGAAGTAAGTATCTTTGAAGTATTTTGTCTACTGACACAAGTTATAGATACAAATACAGTTTTTTATTGTGTATTATGTTACAAGATGAACCACAATTACGAATTTACATCAATTGTAAATGAGAATAGCAACAAACAAAAAAGTCTCGAGATACAAATATATGTAAACTCTGAAGTGATACAGGCTGTACTAAAGACCTGGAAACCGACAAATTTATCAAATTTTGAGTTAAAGAATGGATCTAAGGTATAATATCACTTATTTACTACAACATAATATAACTTAAAAAAAAGTTTTTCAGAAGATAAATTCAAATATTTTAAATTATTAAATTTAAAATGCAATTAATAATGTAAAAACTAATTGTAGAATAAAAATATGTACTTCTACATGTTTTTTTTTTTTAATGTTCCTGTCCCCTTTTTATAAATAATGTGATTTATAAAAGTGATTTTTTTATTATAATTTTTTAATTTTTTAATTTTATTTTTAATTATGTTGTAGCAAATAAACGATAACATATCAATATATTTATTGCTTTATTATTGATTGAAGTTTTATTATTTCTGTGTTGACTGATTTTAGATATGTCTTACAAGTTATCGAAATCATTATTGTATGTTTGCACGCTCTTTAGAAGAAGTGGATGTAGAATATTATAATAATGTTATGCAATCTGTTGCGCAATATGCACAAACAGGTAAAATCAGTGAATAATATAATGAGATAAATTGACAATTATATAAAGAATTGCAAATTATTTTATTCACTTGCAGCACCATACCTAACCGAACCTCCATCTGATAAAGAAGTAGTGATTGCGCCATTCGAAGAAGATGGTAACAATTACCGTGCAATGGTACTTAAGACACAGAACAATAAAGCTCAGATAGTATATATTGATTTCGGTAACCTAACTGAAATTGACATAAAAGATCTTAAAGTCATGCCATATCATTCACAGGTACTGATGTGCATATTAAGACAATAAAAAAAACATTCAGTTTATAAAACTGAAATATATTTGCAAAAAATTTGTATTTAGTATTATTAAACGTTAAAATCCACTTTGACCAAAAATAGAATTATTTAATTTCAATTTCAATTTATTTGTACATTAATTACAAAATAAATAACATAGCGATTATAGAGTTTGATGGGAAAAATTAAGAGTATAAGTGCACAAAATGGTAAGGCATCAACAAAATCTGCTGCTCTAACACTTATCAGAAAAGAGAGAATTAACATTTGTTTGATACAAAAATGCAAAAGCGAAACATAAAATTAACGATATAAAAGTTGGATTAAAGAATATAAAACGCAACATAACATAATGCAACATAGATTTAAGATATAATATGAAAATTCATTATTTTTATTAATTAAAAAAATACATGTTATTTTGAATATCAAAGTCTATATGCTTGTTATAGCAACAAAGTTGTGCGGTAAAAGTAATCTTAAAAGATGTACCTCGTGATGTACCCATGAATCAAGAAGTTGACATGTATCTTCGCCATATATCAGGCACAGAAGTGCCTCTAATATGTACATTTGAGGGTTTATCCAAGGATGGAGTTCGTTTGACGATTGCTGATACGGGAGAATGTGTTAATGATAAAATCAATCAGCTATTAATCCCAGGATGGAAACAAGCAAATAATAATGGTAATTAATCACAAATTATATTTTTAGAAAATAACGTAATATTTGTTTCTCATCACAATTTATACACAGAATTTCAATACATTATGTTGCTACTTAATTATCTTTCAATAGTAATTCCCTTAATGTAAGGAACCCTTAAAAATTTTAACATGTAAGATAATTTTTATTCACTAAAAAATTCATCGATGTATTACATTTTTCTTTGTACTTCAAGTACATCGATCATTTTATATGTGTATATATACATACATACATGCATACATACATACATATATACATACATACATACATACATACATACATACATACATACATACATACATACATACATACATACATACATACATACATACATACATACATACATACATACATACATACATACATACATACATACATACATACATACATACATACATACATACATACATACATACATACATACATACATACATACATACATACATACATACATACACACACACGCGCGCGCGCGCGCGCATATATATATATATATTAGGTGTTGGAATTAATTCGTAGCGTTTTACAAGTGATGGGAAGTACTTTCATTAATGTATTTTTTAATGCTCATGTGAAATAAATAACATTCTTTCATGTAAAACGCTACGAATTAATTCCAACACCTAATATATTGCCATATATTCGTAATATATGTACATTTTATGTTTTATAAAGAATTGCAAATTTAGAATTTTTTACAGATAACACATGCTATATGTTCAATGACATCAAACTAGCAAGTTTAGGACATGTGGGTGATACAGTGAATGCATTGGTAGTATATGTAGCGAAGGAGGATGTAACGTCATATATGATTGGTCCTGAAGATTTTGAATTAATGACTCATATCTTCGAAGTGATGCCGGCAATGGTAAATGATGTGTTATTACGAAGTATTTATTATCATACAACAATGTATAATTTTATTTTATTGTAGTTGAAAGAGTATTGTGAAAAAATGGAGTATTATATTCCAAGAACGCAAGAATTATGTTTGGCATTGTATGACGGGATTTGGTATCGGGCAGTTTGTCTCAATCCTAAAGAATCGCATAGGACAGCTCAAATTTTTTTTATTGATTATGGGAATATAGAGTTAGTAGAGCATAAGGATATAAGATTAATGCCCAAAGACTTCATTTTACCTCGAGCATTTGCTAATATGTGTAATCTTGTCAGTGAGTATCAAAGTTGTTAATAAAGGTGGAATTATGTTATTCGATTTCTTGAATGACAAGCATGCATATAGACATGCTTGTTCTGATGTATGTTACAATTCGTTCATATATTAAGCGCTGATATACATTATACTTTAATAATATTTTTGCGTAAATTTTTTATAATTTCTAAATTAATAAAGAGCTTTTATAAGTGTTTTCGAGCTTCGCGTCAATTACTTTATAGTTTATTTCCTTGTAAGCACAATCAAAAGAAATAATTGCTGAAGAAATAATTTCATAGTTATTTGTCAAATGTCAAACTATATGCATTAAAGCAAGCATAACAACATACATGTATGTTTATTATTTAAGAAATTGAACATCGTATCATTCCATCTTAACTTAAAGATAATTCTTTTATTCAAACTTCTATCTATTGTGTTACAGATTTAGGACCAGTCGACCATAATGGACAGTATTCAGAAGCGGTACAGAAAAAATTAAAGGAATTAATAACGGAAAATTCATTCATCAAAATTAAAATTGTCGAATATTCTGAAGATGGTTATTATAAAATCGAAGTACCAGAAGTTCGTGCCATGCTAATTAAACACGGTCTCGTGTAGTCTTCTAAATTAAAAATTTTAATTTACTATATTTGATAGATTATGTATTTGATAGATTATGTGAATCTTGTGTAGAATTAAGATAATTTTTGATCTTAAGGATTTGACTGCATTGCCATTTATGTATTTTAAACAGTGGGCATAATTACGTATTTGATTATTATTTTTAACTTACTTTTTATTTGATGTTTCAGTCTACTGTTATCATATTTTGTTTTTCGAGGATCAGTTTTATTTCTATGTTTATTTTATATTTGCGAAGACGCTTTTTTGCTATGAATATTTAAGTTTAAAATTGTCTTTTATAAGAAGAGACTATATTTTTCTTAATAAAAAAATAATCGAAATATATTATTCTCTCATAGTATTGTTTTTTCCTATATATTTATTAATTTTAATAATTTTTTAGAATTATTTTTTCTTGAGTACTTCTTTGAGCCACTTTTATGTATTTTAAATAAAAGATTATATTATTACATATCGCATATTATGATATAAATGATATATATAATATATATTATTTTTTTATGTATGTACAAATAATTGGGCGTTTTATGTATATACAACATCATTGGGCGAGTTCTAGCCGGCAAAGCGGCATGCTTATCAGGTGATTGAATATGATTGGTTGGACCTATAAATAACAACCAATTATGTTCATTTACTTGATGAGCAGCTAGTCTGCTTTGTCAACTTACGCGCTCATTGATTTTTACCTATGAATCCAACCAATCATGTTTAATTGTTCGATGGGCAGTACCTACTCATCTAATTGTTTCGTATAAATAAAAGAATTTTAAGGAAATATTGGATTATTCGTAAGATTGAAGTAGCTGGTCATAAGTGAAACGATAGAATATGTAAATTGCTGCGTATTCACAGTCATGGTGTTTTCTTCCATAGTTTCACAATACACAGCATGACAATGGATTGCAATAGATGACGGAATCTTAACCTTTTTCTTTTTTTTTTTACGATAACCTAACCTCTCTCTAGATATCGGCTGACCGAGCGCTGACTGATCGCTTTAACTCAAATGACATATCTCGCGCGAAAGTCCTGCTGTTCATCAAGTAAAAGGCTTCCAATTAAAAAGCGAGAGTAATAAACAATGAACGTACAAACGAGACACCCTTACGAGGGTTTGCTACACAAATATACGAATGCCATGAAGGGCTGGCAATACCGTTGGTTTATTTTGAGTCCAGAGACCGGCGAGTTGCATTACTTTCTCAGCGAATCTGAGAAGAATCAAAGGCCACGGTGTTCAATTTATCTAGCAGGAGCTGTAATAGCCCCCAGTGACGAAGATTCTAACACATTCACCGTCAATTCTGCTACTGGTATATATCTGATTAAATCAAATCATTACTGATTGTTTTTCTTATAATAAATATGGATATTTGATTTAATCTGATTATTAAGTTTTCAATATCTTTTCAGGTGACATGATCAAACTACGAGCCACAGATGCACGAGCACGCCAGGAATGGGTCGATAAGTTACGAGCAGTCACAGAAATGTATACTAGAGCGATAGCCAGCAGCCATCCTCCATTGCCACCACGAGAACATTCTGGAAATTCGAGTAGGAATCCTGTCGTTAAGCTGGAAGTATTGGATGCCTTTGCCAATTGCCAGGAACAATTGAGAAAGGTGGAGAAGCACAATCTTGCCCTAGCACAATCTATTGAAAACTCGGATTTACATCTGGACTCTGATCTCTTAGTTCTCAAAGCTATGGCGCATACCACTTTGCATACACTGAGCCAATGTCTTAACATATTATATCAGTAGGAAGTTAATCATCTATTTTTATGCTTATCAATATTGAGATTTTTATACTCGTGAATATGTAAGATTATCTTCTCCGTCATGCAACATTCATACTATTTTATTTTAAACAATTATGTACTTATCTATAATTAAAGCTAGCTTTAGACGTAAACAATTAAAAATGAGATTGATACCTCTTGATATTGTATCTATTTTTTAATAATTGATTGTTATAAATAATTGATTTTAAATAATTAGTTAATTTTTATAAAATAAGATTTTTTATATATTGTAAATGGAATGTTAATGATTAGTAGGCCTTTATACTATTTTCAATCATAGAAGAATACAGTTTTTTTTATTTATCCCATTGGAAATAAAAACCCATTTTTATTTATTCCATTGGAAAAAAAAGGTACATCATTTCATTGAATTTTAATAGTAGATTCTTTGAATGATGTTGATCATATTACATTATGTAATACAGGAATTTTTTCTTATTGAATATTTTTTATGTTAAAATTTTTCTACACTTGATCTTCCAATCATATCATGATTTATATAACATGAATACATTTTTATCTACAATGCATATTAAATCAATTGTTTTGTTTGCCATTTTAATCTAGGCCTGCTAATGACAGTCTCGGTATGTTCTTCCAATGTAACAATACCATGTAATTGAGAATTTAAGATACATATTACGTATTAATTGTATTAAAACGTTGTACAAAGAATTATGTTTTTTTTATGTCACAGTTAAAGTGTTAATTTTAGTAAATGTATACCTTGACTACAGTAAGAAGTGTATACATTTTAAGGCCGGTTGTTTCACCTTTTGGCAAATTTTACCTGTGAGGTAAATCTGATAATCCACGCATGTGACTAGGTAATCTTGCTACTTACCCAATAGGTAAAATTTACCAAAAGATGAAACAACCTGTCCTTATTGAGTTAACGCTTTGGCTGTAACACCCGTCATATATATGTGTATATATATGCGCGCGCGCGCGTGTGTGTATGTGTGTGTATGTATGTATATATACTATACATATATATTAAGCAGAATAATACATTCCCTTATACTTCTATTTACTTCAAATGAAAACTGATACAAAATATATTATTAATATGTTATTTGTTTCTGCGTTATAACAATGTAAACGTTGCGTTAACGTTTACATTAATACGTTTAATTTTTGCCATTGTAAAGTATTAAGAATCTTAATTAATTAAAGTATTACTCCATTTTCATATTATAAAGACTGTTAAGTATGTATATATTATATAAATTACAATATAATGTATGGCTGTACAAAATGCAATTTTCATTGAAAATATTTCCGAAACATTGATGTATATTAGAATAAAAAAAGAAAACGATGTGCGTCTCATCGTAATATGACGTAAGATTCAATGTCAAGAATGTGTAAATGGGTGAAGGTAAACATGTACGTGACTTTTCTCTTTCGCTAAGAGATCAGACGCGACTCAGTGCTTCCACAACAGTACTGCTCTTGCTCAAGGTACTTTGAAGATCAAAATGAATTAACACGTATTGAGCGATAAAGTCTATGAATAAATTGCGAATGTTTATTTGAATTTATTCGTATGTTATACTCTGTTGTTAAGAAAAATTCATGTGGTTGAAAGTGAAGTTGAAGAATGTTATGTAAAATAACTTTTACTCTTCATATATATATACAGTATTAATAAAACTAATAATAATAATAATAATAAAGTGCAAAAAACATGTCGCATTTTTCGTATTCTGAGGTTTTGACGAAAGCGGCAGGCGTGAAAATCGTGATGTCTTTGCCCAAAGAAGATTTACTTCCGCCAGGAAAAATAGTTCTTAAAATGCGGAAAGGGAATGTGGAATCATATATACATGGTAAATCTTATGGATTTCATTTGACCAAATCAAAATGGGATCCGTATCCGTGGGTCGGTTATGTTGAGAGTAATAGTCCTGCTGACTTAACAGGATTAAGGTGAGTTTTACTTCATTTTAAAAACTACTGAGTATATCATAGATACAAAAGTTTAAAATGTATATATATATATATTTTTTGAAGATATATATTGATATAACACATAATTTTATATATTAAATCAAGTATAAGTATATTTTTGCGTAAATTAATTTCACATAAATTGTTTTCTTATTATGCTCCATCAGAGCGGGTGATTGTTTATTGAGCATTGACGACACCGATTTATTGGGGCTAAAGATCAAGGACGTTGCTAATTTAATTCATAATAAGGAAGATGTACGAGATTTAAATTTTTTTATTTGGAGGTACACGCATCAAAAAGAGGAACAAAATGATAGTGGGTTAGCTCTGAAGGGTCCACTTCCGAATATAGCCAGAAATCTTGCAAATGCATTATCAGGAACGGTGCGCATGCACATTCTATAATTCAAAATATGGAGTTACTGTTTTATTTTTTTCTTATTTTTATATCATTTATTAAATGAGCGATTATCGTTTTAATAATCATTTTATTTTTTATATCATTCATGAATTGAATAATATAAAATTTGAATTCTCATTATTAGTCTTCTATCATTAACTGGTTAATCTATTAGGTGTTGGAATTAATTCGTAGCGTTTTTAATGAAAGAATGTTATTTATTTCACATGAGCATTAAAAAATACATTAATGAAAGTACTTCCCATCACTTGTAAAACGCTACGAATTAATTCCAACACCTAATATTATTAAATCCAAGAAATTAATATTATAAAATTAAACTACATAATAATACAAGCTACATAAACATAATTTTTTCTCTCTATACCAGTGTAACACAATTAAATTTTTTAAATACTAATTAAAAATAAAACTTCTTTTTATCGAATGAAGCATCAAGGATGTGTTTGTCATAAAATTTTCCTTTTTAGGTCCGTGCCTTGGAATGCCCGATTTGCTTAGAAAGCGCTGCGCCTCCAGTCTCACAATGTGTACATGGTCACATTCTGTGCGTCGTCTGCAGGCCGAAAACGACGCGTTGTCCGGTCTGTAGAGTCCGGCTTGGCCAAGGCCGATGTCTTCTTGCAGATAAATTGCATAAAGCACTTCGCGATGCCTTTAACATGGATAATGACGAGAAAATAGACAAAACATCTGTTATAACCGATCGCTGTAACTTGCGTGATCAATTGTTTGGTAAAACTAGCAAGAAGCAAGAGACTCCAATTATAAACCAATCAAAGAACAATTGTACTGCTTTGAAACCGAGACAATTCTTATTAGCCAGATTGTTGCTCGGAGGCAGAGAGAAAGCCGCCTCTGTAGATAATCTAATTCGAGTATCTGACATATCGGAAGAAACCGTGGCGATTCCTAATGGAGATGTTAACAGTTTACGTGTGCGATTGAATGATCGCACTAAATCAGCCAGTACCGGCGAATTGTCGAAGGACAGCGAAGTTCGCATTAATGACTCTTCGCAAATTGTTGAATCATCTGCGGCGAATGCTAGTCACCAATCGCTAAGTTTACCTGAGACGCCAATTTGGGGTGGCTCCACGGATTCTGTGTCTTGTATACAACTGACATGTCCACTTTTGCAATCTTGTACAGAAGTAGTGATGTCCGACTCTCTACTGGAACATATCAAGAATCACAAGGTGCCGCAAATTCATTTCTATTCTGGCAGCGCAAGAATTCCTCTTCCGCTTCCTTTCGTCCATCATGGAAACAACATGTTTTTCTTTCAGGTATAACATCTTTATCTTTAACGAAATAAAGTTTGTATCATTTCGTTGTTTCAATTATATTGTACGTATCTAATCATATTGATATGGAGAAATATTTATTACTTCTAATGATATTCTTTCATTTGGATTAAATATTTATCTGAATGTATATAAAATTTACCGTATACTTTATCCAGTCAATTACAATTTGATGTCAATCTTAATGTTAATTAAAAATATTCGTATATATTGGTATCAGTATATATTGGTATTAGTATAAAATTGTAATATATATACAACAGAAATAGAAAAAATTTTATATACTCTTTTAGAATACATACATATTAAAATTTAGATAGTCATTTTTTAATTTAGAATAAATCATCTTGTATCAATACAATTTGTATACATGTGTATAAAAACAAAACAAGATGAGAAAAAGTATTTTGAATGTACGAGATAAAAAAATATATCTGTGTATGTGAATCAAGATTCGATTACTTTATCTAGCATTATTAAACTTTGATAATAAAGTTTTGTAAAGAATTCATATTATATAGTCTATATATTTTTATCTTAGAAAATGCTTTATATTAGTTCATAGACAAAAATATGCGGAATAACTTTTGCAGAAATATAAAAACCGTATTATTCTTACATAGTATGGAGATGAAATAGCATGGATGACACATCCTGCTAAGATGACGTATTCAAACACATGGGAATGGATATTGCACGCTTGGGGTGACAATGGTACAGAAGTACAATTACGAAGGCACGTAGCGAGTCTCGAGAATTCCGCGACATTATCTTCACAGCATATTGCCCCATTGCCAAATACATTATTGTTGAAAGCCATTGAAATACAAATAGAATATGGAGCAAACGATAGATTATATATGTGAAGAGACCGATACATTTGTTATTTTCAACAAATTTATTATTATACACTTAATTAGCGCAAAATGTATATTGAAAGGACATAGAAAAAATATACATAAAAATTATATAAAAAAGTAACAAAAGTATTTATTTTTCATTGATACAATTTAACATGTAATAATACGTAATATGTTAATTATTTCGAATATAATAAAGTACGAGGGTCGTTTGAAAAGTTTTAAGCCTCAACATGAAAATGGCATTACTCATCAAAACCCATTCTGGTATTACAATCGTACATGTTTTGCAAGATACCTATGAAAATTGTAGCCATTTTGGACGCTCAGTTGTTGTTTGACAGTCATTTGTGCCAATTGTCAGTGTTTTTGTAAAAATAAAAAAAAATCGAATATCGATGATCGCCATAATAATAATTTACGAATTGTGGTTCGATTTAATTAACTACGTAAGTACTTATTTAAAATCTTAATTAATGAGCTAAAATCTTAATTAATATTATTGTAACATCACGCAGAATATTTCAAAATTTACGAGTCACAACGGAAAATTAAGTTCTAATAACACTAAGTAATACAAGTTAGGCCGTGTTCCAATATGCATTGCTAATACTGAAAATCTATAATTCACATTATTATATATTGTAGATTTTCAGTACTGGCAATGTATATTGGAATACGCCTTTAGTAAAAACTAAAAAATAATAAAATTATTATTTAAAATAAGACATACTTAGTCTATAGATATTGCAAAGATATTTACTACGTACAAAAGAACATACACATACTTTATTCAGACAATAATAAAATTTGATTTCTGTCAAGGATTTGTTTTATTTCTATCAATATAGATTAACTTCAATCTCTGTTCAAAACTTACTCTTCATCTTTTTCTAGTTCTAAAAATTAGGAAAAGATGAAAAGTAAGTTGAATTGAGATTAAAGTTAACTTTGATGGACATTAATATGCATTAATTATTTATAAAATACATATACTTATAAAAATATTTCTTTTCATTTTGTTGTTTTACATTACACATTATAATATGCAAAGCTCATTGAAAAAGAAGAAAGATACTTGTGTGTGTTTCTTTGTTAGTTGCTCAAAGACTTTAATTCATGTATTTTCAAATATCCTGTATAATATAGAATATCCATCCAGGAGATTTAACTTAATTTCATACTTAACAAATACTATTTTTTAACTTCATTTTGTAACTCGTAAAAAAAGAGTAGTCATTAATTAAAATACTATGTTAATACATTTTCAGCATTTAACATATAAACATAATATGTAAACATTAATTACGAACATCGAATAATAGTAAAATCACATAACATGCACATGCATACTTATAGAATAAAAAATTAATTAGCAAAAACGAAATATTTTTAATAAAAAAAAATCTTATTTATTCAAACTTAATCTATTTCTTTTTATTAAACGAAAACTGTCGTGCAAAAGCGGGATTTGAAATTTGAAATTATTAATGATTTAAAGGCACTTTGCATGATATTTCATCCATATACGGTTTAAAACATTCATGCTGACCAGTTCTCGCTGCTTGACCGGCCATAATATCATATGCATGTTTATAAACTGATAAATAATTTTCTTTGCCGACGATATTTAATTCGACTTTATAAACGTGCGTGTCATAAGACGGTAACTTTTTTCCCGATGTTAAAACAAATTCTCGTTTGACAGATATTGATCGTTCCAGATCTGTCTCGCTTTTTTGTTTATCGCGTTTGGGACAACTACATATTTTAATTCCCAATGTTTGGCGAGCTAAAACTTGCTTTCTTTTATCTTCTAAAGTGAATTCTAGCTCAGTATCCCTACGATTCATACCGGATGTACAACTATTTTTGCAAAAAAATTTAAAACACATTGGAAAATATTGTGAGCCAGGTTCGGGTGTACAAAGCGGTGTTAAGATAGAAAGATGTTCATTTTCTTCTTCGTAGATACTCGCGGCATGATTAACACAATGGACTACATGTTTAATTCTTTCCGGATCTATTGATTGATTAATATAATTGGTTGATGCTATATGATTAGGGCATCGTCTTACTGGATCGTTTTTATATTGCTCTAATACAAAAACTAATTTTGTACGCAAAAATAAACCGGATGCAGCTGGTTCCCATGTAAATCGTAAAGGCAGTGTCTTTTCCATTTTTAGAAATACTCTTTTCGATTTTTGAGAGTACTACATGAAAAAAATAACAGATAAATAAATATATTAAATTATTGTAACTATATAAAAAAATAATACTAAGAATCATACATACTATATGCAACATTATAAAAGTTTGGTTCATAAAATAGTTTAGTTTATATCAATGTTAACAGAAAATCATCACACTGATACGTAAGATACATTTAGCACCAATTTATCTACTACATAAAAATCTTACACCTGCGATATATAATATTTGGTTAAACACATTAAACACAAGATTACAATATAAACAGATTAATCTGATAACTTGTACTTGAAAGTTTAAATGATCAAATCTAATAAGCAAATTCATAAGGTAACTATTCTTTGTAGTCAAACTAATATACAATTGTACTTAAAATGAATTAAACATGAATGCTTTCCATTTTGTGACACAAGTCGATACAAACATTATTAAATGTTTCCGATAACTCAAATAATAATATCCAGAATGATTTATATCAATTTGTGTCATCAAATGGAAAATATCCATATATTTAAAGAGACAGAAAGTATAGTTCAGTACAGCGACAAAGAATAGTCTTATGTATTTTTAACAGTATAGTATACAATTAATAATTAGATATCAAAGCAAGCATTTCCAAGCAAAATCTCTTACTTTTTCATCTTTATTATTTTACTTTATCTTCTTACAATTTAATGAATAAGATGATACAAGAAATTGTTTGCAAGTTACATGAAATATCCCATATAAAAATTATAAAAACTAATTGTAATTATCATTAAAGGACAAAATTGATTTGCAAGTAAGAACATGTTATGTGATAATAGATTTCAATTTAACTCGTGAAATAAAAACAATTAAATAAGTACAGTTCAACATACTTTGTGGATAAATATTTTATAAATTCTGAATTTAATACAAATTTTAAATTATTATACATAAAGTTTAAATTACATAAAATAACATAAAGTTTGCTTACCGACCAATCCTGTCCACCATTCTCTGCCAAGGTATACTGGAAATTTAATTGAGGGCCTAAATAATTGGCGTACCCACGTGAATAATAAATATCGTCATCTTCTTCTGTTTGACTTTTTAATCTCTTTTCCGGAGGGATATACATGGACTCGGTAAGTAGTATATCATATTTGTCTTCTGCATCAAATGCGTTCATATCTTCTGGTAGCGGCAATGTACCTCCGCTTTGAAAAAATAAAACAAACACAAAATTTAGATTTATATGGTTCTCAGTCCTAGTGGAAAAATTTCACTGAAATTATTCCATGTTTTGAAATACTTTTCGGCAAAATTTCAGCATTTCAGAAAAATTTTAGCTGAAAAGTTCATTTTCAACAAAATTTCAACGAAATTTTGGCAAAAATTTCAGAAAAATTCATTTTCAGTGAAATTTTAGCAAATTTTCAGAAATTTCACTAAAATGTTCCAAAACATGGAATAATTTCAACGAAATTTTTTTACCAGGCATATCTACAATAAGTTTTTAAGTCTTAGGCTATAAGAAATGGACGAATCATAGTCAATTATTCTCCTCGCATTCGACTGTAATTGGTTAATTTCTTATGGCTCTCCAGACGGAGACCATAACGGCCATTCTACCATGAGTCATAAATCAAAAGTTAGAAGCTAAAAATTGACGCCTGTGATTGGTCCATTTCTAACTTCTAATTTCTGATTTGTAACTATTAGATTTATTATAGAATGGCTATTACACATATAAAAATTTTAGTCGTAATCATAAGACTGTAAGCAAATCAATCAGTCGAGCGTTTTAAAATATGAGATCGCAATTTTGATTGTGATTGATCGATTTGCTCGAGATCTTACGAATTACGACTAAAAATTTTGATTTTGAGCCTAAGCACAAAGATAACCATAATTGAGCGTGGAACGTAAGTCATAGTTGTAGATTGGCCAAAACATTGTGCGTTAATCTACGACTCACGTTTCACGATTCAGTTATGACCATCTTTGTGCTGAAACCCTTTACCAGCCAGTTCCAGCCGACTTTTTGGCATTTCCCGATAGTTCCAACGTTTTGTATAAGTTTTGTTCAGAGTTTCAGCTTTTGACTGGAGATACTTTATTCTTACGATGTCAGCGCTCAGATTAAAAAATTATTTTAAAATATTTGAAGACTGAAACTACAAATAAAATCTATAGAAAGTGTCGGAACTATTGCAGAATTATCGGAAAATACCAAAAAGTCGACTGGAACTGGCTGTTAAGAGATATTTTACTCGTTTGTGATGAAGTTCCAGCGCTCATATTAAAAAAGTGTTTAAAAGTATTTAAAGGCCGAAGCTGTCACTAAAACTTATCAGAAACTGTAAAACTCTTCGAGAATAAGAGAATTTCATAATAAAAATAAATTTTTTTGAAACTTGAGATGCTAGCTCTCAGATAAAAAATTTATTTAAATATACTTAAGGATCCTCTACACAGAAATCATAGGAAACTGATCAATTCTAACGCTAAGTTTTATCGGTGAAGTTGACCAATAGTATAGCAAAACTTGTACAAATAAAACCGATTGGCCAATCATCGATTAAAACTAAAACTTCCGACTACCAACTCATTGTAGAATCAGCATAATAGAATATTCTCCTTGTATTTGATTATGATTAGTTAGTTTCCTACGACTTCTATGTAGAGGAGTCTTTAAAGAACTATTGCTAAAATATATCAGAAACTACATAATTCTTCGAGAACCATAAAATTTCATAATATAATCAATTTTTCCGAAACTTGAAATGCCACGCGAAGTTAGCACCTCATATTTTTATTTTTTTTAACTAAATTAACAGAATTATATTATATCTTTCCTAATAGGAAAGAACTGTTACGGATGCAAGGAGAATTGTTAATAAAATTTTCGGTTTTTTAAAATAAGATGCCAGCTTCTCACTTTTTCATAGCCATGATAGATTTATTAACTTGAATAGTCGGTCAACGATTAATATCTCGGTTCACGGAGCAGATACTTTTTGGAGCAGATACTTTTTTTCTGCCAGATTTATTCGTTTCACAAAAAAGAATGCGTTGCAGTATGCAACTAAACAGTTAAGTCAACACACAATGCTTGTTTTTTTGCTAGATCACATTATGTTAGCAGTCTGCATATATTAGGTGCGCAACTAAGTTCTCGCTGTTATTTTGATGAAAATGCTATCAAAATAACAGCGAGAACTTAGTTGCGCACCTAATATATTATCAATATATATATATATTATATACATATATTATATATGTATATATATACACATATATATACGCACACACACATACATACACCACACACATATATATATATATATATTATGATCTATTTTTTCTTGTCTCAATATAATTCTTATGTTATTGTATGTAATATCTTACATGTGTATGTCCATATATTGTTCATCAAGCATCAAGCTAACTCGCAAATGAGTTAATACATACGAAGCCACAAGCAATACGCAACACAATGGATCTATTAGCTAAACCAGCAAGAAAATAAACATCATGTGCCGTAGGCTTTACCCATAGTTTCAAACAATGATCTCGAACTCGAAACATTGATCTGAATATTGCATCATCTTTTGTTTGAATTTTTTTGGTCTAGTTTCATGCATTTGTATTTCGTACAATTGATTGTATATCACTTGATTAACTTTGTTTTAGGCTGAATCAAACCCTTTTCTGAAGCATTTAATTTAGAAGAACCTTTTATTGTGTAAAAGAACATATTCGTGATACAGAAATGCGTCCGACCGGTACAATGGACGAACAACAGAACTAAATGAAAGTTACTTACAAAGTCTTCTCTATATCCTTATACGTTTCATCATCCATCAATGCAGATTCCTGAGAATCTGAAACAACATTCGAGCCTAGCATGTTTGCGATTCGCAGTTGAAGATTAATTGGAGAAAAATGCATAAATCGAAGTGGACACATGCAAGTACATTTCATCGAACACAACACTGCCACAGAACATATACCAACCAAAGCTGCACACTAGTTTCACACGAGTGATCGGGAAGGATCCAGTGGGATCCAGTAATGCGAATTACGGGGAGGATCGAAATTTTCTCATCTCGAATCTCGTTCGTCTACAATCCATGGTGGATGTAGAAGGGATAACATGGTGTGTCATGATTCATAGTGGAAAGATTATATGGCGTAGTTTGTATGCGTCTCTCTTTAAAATTAGCGCTCTCTGTCTCATCATTTCTCTGCCTTTTCGTTCCGTAAAGCCTATTTTAATAATGTGCTTTTTGTTTCCTGTATCTTGCCTTTTACTATTTTTTGACATGTTTCTTGTTTTTTTGCTTCTTATCCGGCTTTTTGTCGCCCGAGATAAAAGTTAACCAACTTTGAAAGAAACAAGAAATATGTAGCAAGAAATTTCAACAATTGTCGATAAAACGATTACAAAGGAGAAAAAAACAAAAGGTAAAAAGCAAGAAACAGGAAACAAAGAGCACCTTGTAGATTTAAGTCCTATACCTGTGAAACGCGAAAAACATGGGGCAGTATTCATAGTTTGTTTTTATTTTAAAACCGTCCTAAAATATTGGGTCATCTAAAAAGTATCCATTTTTTGTCACTAGATAGTGTTGACCATCAACACCCAATATAATGATTGCGTTCGCTTTGCCGCTTATAGCGTGAGCATTATTATCCTTGTTTAATATTTACTAAACAACAAGGATGAAAAGGACGGTTAAAGCATTATGAACGCCAAAGCGAACACAGCCATAGTCTTAAGATGAGATTATTAATCTTCGAATTGACTTAGGAACAACTTCGTTATTTATAAAAAAGATAAAACAAATCTTGTTTATAACAAAGATAGAACAAATCTAAATACTATCCTTGTTAGAACAAAGATAAAATGAGACAGAATGCTACATTTTCATGCTGGTGCTCGATTCGAGCATCAAAATAGGTCACGTGATCAAAAAATTGACGAATAGCATCAATTTTGATTACGTGACCTGGATCAATCATGAAACTTTATCTCTAGAATGGAAAGTGAAAGATGAAAATTGTAATCATTGAAGTTAATGAAGAAATTTTTTACTTTTCACTTTTTATCCTGGGAAAGAAGTTTCATAATTGATATTGAATTGATACTGTTTTGATGCTGAAAAAGAGCGTCAAATGTCAACATGAAAAAGCAGCCTATGAATACTAATCTGTTTCGCGTAGAGAGCTTCACAGAGAGAGAGTGGCAAATTGTATCACGTGAATGCCCACGTCCAATCAGGTAATTGGAATTTTTTCCATAGAACTTATATTACAGGAGGGGGAATGACTTATCCAAGCAATGGAAAGTATGAGGAAGATCTGAGAGACAGCAGATGATATTGGGTCATCTAAAAAGTATCCGCGGTTTTTTGTCACTAGATGTGTATTGATGGTCATATATCTAGTGACAAAGTACCGCGGATACTTTTTAGATGACCCAATACTTCTATGGATACATTTCTGTTCTGCTCAGCTAACTTTTCTTCTTTCTGGCGCATGTGCCAAAAGAGGCTAGAAGAGGATAGAAAGATATTTGTGTCCTTTAAATCTTGTTCACAGCCTTGACGTCCGTATTTCTCCTCTAGTGGTATAAACTCTATTTTCTTCAATCTTCCATGCCGATGGAGCTTTGATGCCCATGTCTAATCAGAGGAGATGGGTCACGTGATGCAATTTGCCATTTTCTCCCATGAGCGGAAATTTACAACGAAACGGAACAGCGCGGCCAATCACAACTCTGCAGTTGATTGTCATTACTTTACTTTCTTTTCTGCGATTGTGATTAGTTTCGCTGTTCTGTTCCGCTTATGTGATGCTAGCTTGAGGCTCTCTAGTTTCGCGTCGTGAAATTGGTACTGAACTGGTTTCCTTGCACAAGCCGATAAAGTCGTCAATAATAATTAGTGATGCTTCTGATTGGCTATCGTGAAGCTATCGCATTGCGAGTGACGATGGTGTGTTGGCAATTTATAAATCAAGTTATAGAAATTGACGAATATCGAGTGTCAATTTTTATCACGTGATTTATTTTGACGGCAAAAATAAGCGTCGATCGTCATGAAAAGACACCTTTATAGGCTACGGGTACCTAGGAAGGATCAACACATTGTGTTGATATGCGCACGCATGCTCGTTGCTTCATGGCGGGAACCGCATATCACCGCATGTCATCGCATGTGGCGCACTACAGTGAGGTACGGCACGCGCCGGAAGCAAACGACTCCAATATGGCGAATGTGAGGGACAGCGATACATCGTTGTGGCTACATAATAAGCTTGGTACATCAAATGATAGCTGGACCGGCAGCTCAATTTGCTCGCAACTCAATGCCGAGGTATTGCGGAACATCAAGGATTGTTTTCCCGACTTACAAACGCAGGTTAAACTCAAGCTACTGCTGTCGTTTTTTCACATACCTAGACGTAATGTTGAAGAGGTAAGCATTTTCCTCTATCTTTATATTTTCATACTTTTATCGAGTATTGCTTTCTCGAAATATACATACTTGCTTTCTAAAATAGTGAAATTAATAGTGAATTCATATTTCTAATAAGCATTCGCCTACTAATGGATTTAGAACTTTTTTTTATATTTTTACTTTTATTAAAATTTTATTATTTAAACCTGATGACAGTGGCGTGCAGAACTGGAGGAGATTATTGAGGTTGCAGCTGTGGACAGTGAATTGTGGGTATCGATGTTATCCGAAGCGATGAAAACTTTTCCATCGACTGGTTCTTTAAATACAGACATCACTGATCTAGATGAACATAGACCAATTTTTGGTGAATTAGTCAATGATTTACGGAAACTTCTCAAGAAACAGAATGATCCTGCTATGCTTCCCTTAGAATGTCATTATCTTAACAAGACTGCATTGACTTCAGTGGTAGGTCAGCAACCTACGCCAGTCAAACATTTTACTCTCAAGAGGAAACCAAAAAGTGCAGCCTTAAGAGCAGAACTGCTTCAAAAAAGCACTGATGCCGCTAGTAATCTCAAAAAGAGCACAGCTCCTACTGTACCAGTAAGAAGCAGAGGAATGCCAAGAAAAATGACTGATACAAGTATATATAAATTTATAAATGCTATGTTACTTCTTTATGTTATCTGCAATATATTGCATTGTATATATTTTTTTAGCACCTTTGAAAGGAATCCCAAGTAGAGTTCCAACGAGCGGTTTTCGGTCCCCATCGCTTACAAATACTTCTATGTCTAATAGAACATCAATCAGCAGAATTCGAAAGGATGGTGGTATTAAATTGCTGGATATTACTGAACAACCTATGGGATTTGTAGCAAAGAAGAGGAAAAAGATGATGGACTTCGAAGAGCAACAGAAAAAAGCAGTGGAAGCACAAGTGATCGCTGTGGCAGAAAAGAATTCAGCAACTCCATCGGTTGTAGAAACTACCACTCCGGAGTACGCGCAAGGATTGGCCTCAATAAATCCGCCTGCTACGCCTGTTACACCAACTGTAGTAGTTACAACGCAATCCTATACCGCACCTAGCACGCCAAGCAGTATTTCAGTCACGACTACGCAGCAAACACGTAAGTTACAGTTATTAAAAAGATCATGTTATTTTGTTCAGATTTTGATTAAACATTTCGTATTACATAGCTACTACGTTAACTACTACCACCACCACCACAACACCCACTGCTGTATTGGCAGTGACTACACCGACGGTGATAACATCTGTGGAAAGCACGCCAGTAGCTGTGCAAACTGTCAGACCAGCTCAGACAGTCACACAGATTCGTATACAGACTACTACGACTAATGCGGCAGCTAACCCAAGAAAAGGCCTATCTCTTACGGTACGTAAGATTAATTGTATGCATTTAATTATATATTATAAATATAGGATACTTACTGTTTATTGTTATTGGATTACAGCGAGAACAAATGTTAGAAGCACAAGAAATGTTTAGAACTGCAAATAAAGTAACGCGTCCAGAAAAAGCTCTTATTTTAGGTTTTATGGCTGGTTCGAGGGGTATGTCTATCTCTTTCACATGTATTTTTCTCTTTTGTAAATTATATTTAATAATACTATCAATCATTTCGCTTGTATATAGATAATCCTTGTCCAAAATTGGGTAATATAGTCACAGTGATGCTTTCGGAGAATGTAGAAGAAGTAACACAGTCTGACGGAACAACTGTTCCGATGTTGGTTGAAACTCATTTCCAAATGAATTACACGAATGGCGAATGGAAGAGGATAAAGAAAAATCGACGTATTGTAACAGAGGAATCTACATCAACGTCCACTCCTGCGCCAAACGCGACCGCCACAGCTTCCAATTGAAAGAATTTGTTCAAATCGCTAATATAAAATTTATATGTATATGAAATATCATTTTGTGGTTATTAGAGAATAACAAATATTGTGATCATACGTCTTCTTGATAAATTGACAAAGACGTTACTAAATTAACAATTCACATTTCATATAAAATCTAATAAGAATCGTTGAATTGTCGATTTTGAATTGTTGAATTTTTATCCCTCTATAATGGACTTTATCGCTTTCTCACATCAACTATATAAGTTATAAGTCTTGATAATTTTCATATTTAGGCTTCAGTTAAATGAAAATTTATCCAAATGTTGCTTTTCGAGTATCTTTGCTTATTCTTTAAACATACATTTATATATGTAAGAAATATATGATTTATAATACATATTATTTGATAGATATATACAATGTGAATAGTCAAATATTTGTTTATAATACTACTATTAAAAATCTATATATCATACACAGATATATGAAAATATATATACACACATATATATATATATATATATATTTTAATAAGAATGAATATAAGACTTCTATAATATTGTTATTTGAATAAACATGATTACATTTGTTTTGTGTGTATTGCTTATTTTTTGCAATATTTTTTGCAATTTGTTATTAATTATATTCATTAGTCGTATTATATTTTTTAATCATTCATATAAAAATGATAATTTTTGTTTAAAAAATTTAATTTTCAATAGTTTTTTGAATAGATATACAAGGAACAATATTTTAGTTAGAGCTGCCGAATCTTGCTTTTTTAATTTTTTAATTTTACGTTTATAAAATTTTTTAATTTTATAATTATTTTTACGAGATTATATTCTAAATATTTGCTATTTTATTTTGCACATAATTTATTAAATTCGTAGAATTTATATAGGTTACACACACAATATATATTGGGTCATCTAAAAAGTATCCGCGGTACTTTGTCACTAGATATATGACCAT